ATGCAATGGTGAATATTATGAAAAGAGTATTAGGAAACCATTGAGTGCATTAAAATAAGGATCTCTACTTTGTAGATTCCTAGTGTGAATCAATTCTGATAATATTTGAGCAAGTAACATATTAAACTATAGCGAGTTAGTTTTGTTTCGTGCTATTGATAGCATTTGACTCTAGGAAGCGATAACTTGCTGTATTATTTTATGTTGTTGAATAGTGAGCTATCCTCAAGCTAAGTGGCTTAAAGCAACAATAGACACTGACTTGTCAGTGTCTTCCGGAGTGTCTGAGCTTAGTGATGTTGGTAATGCCTGCTGTGAGCCACAGCTTTAGAAACCCAGGGATGCTGACTCCTAGGAGGCTCACTCACATCTGGCACGCTGGTGCTGTTTTCTGCTGTTTCTCCCCGACTGGGGTCTTCACAGTTGCCTGATCTTCTCATGATGTTCTTGCTCCCGTCTCTCAGTGGAAGTGGGGTTGTCCTTGGTGATCACACCACTGCTTATGACAAGTTCTCTTCAGTGTAAGTGAAGGGACAATTAGGCTGTGCCTTTGGAATGAAGTTTCAGTAAGATGAAAGCCCTTCAAGGGCACTATGGTTCTCTTCTTTGAAAGCTGCATTGGCGTCTATGGGTGTGGCACCTGTAAGAACTTCTTGCCAGAAAAGTTTAGAAGTAATCTTCTAAGAGCAGACACACTGCATATGAGTGAGTGTGTGCGCGTGCGCTCGCGTGCGCTCGCGTGCGGTCCTAGGTATTGAACCCAGGGCTTCAAGCATCTTAGGCAATGTCTGGCTCACTGAACTACATCCCCAGCAGTTTCTCGTAGTTCTCATAATCATAATTTAAATGAATTTTTTCTTAAAGATAGGAATCCTGTTTTAGGGAATATTTTATTTCTTATATTCTTAGAGAGATTTAAAGACTGCTATGTCTAGTAGATGCCTATTAAATAAGTAGTGGATGAGTGGACGAGCAAACCGAAGGGCTTGTTGTTATCATGTATTGCCACTAGATGGTGCCAGAATTACACTTTACACAATCATTTTTGCGATGCGGCTGGACCAGGTAAATTAAGGGTTATATTGATGGAGCTGTAAATTTACTTACACAGGAAAAAAGAGGAATCTAAAGAAGAGTGACCAATGCATGTATTTTATCTTTGAGTTCTATGGTGATTTCCTCCTCACTTTGTCAAAATTCTGTTTGAATTCAAATGGAAGTTAGAAACCTTGCGAGGGTTTTGCTGTGATCCACCTGACTGGCTTATAATGCTGACTAGTAACAAATTCTTTACGGCCTGCCTCCATCCATGTCATTTCTAGAATCTTCTGAGGGCTTTCAGTTACATGCAGGGAATACCTTAGTTTAGCTGCAGCCTGAATTTTTACCATTCTCTGTAGTTTCCTTCTACTTTACGATTACATAAAAGACACACAGATTTTGTTTTGATTATGCTTGAACTTTAAAAATCATATATTTGTGATTCAGTAGTATCTCATGTCTTCTTAATGAATTGCTTTTCTGACGTAATGTTATTTCAAAGATTTTTTTCATGTTATCTCAGGTTGCAAGAACATAATTTTTATTGCTGTATTATATTTCATTTTGGAAATATATGTCACAGTTTACTCCTTTTGTTATTAGTGGACATTTCTGTTGCTTCTCACTTGCTGCTAATATGAGTAAGTCCTGTGGATATTTTTGTACATAGCTGCTGGATAGCATATGGAAATTTTTCTCTGGGGCAGGAATTAGAGAACCATCACCCAGCAGTTAAACTCAGCTCACTGCCTGTTTGTATAAATAAAGTTTTATGGCCGAGCTCATTTGTTTACATTTTGTGTGTGGTTGTCTTGTGATATAAGAGCAGAGTTTAATTAGCTGTGACAGAGACCATATGATATGCAAAGCCTGAAGAATTTTCTGTGTGGCCACTGCTTCCAGCATCTGCCCTGGAATGGTTTGGTGGTTGTAGAGTATGCATGGGGGTAACCTCACACAGCCAGGACCGATTGTCCTCCAGAGTGCTGTGCTGGCTCCTACTCCCACTAACCGTGCACAGAAATTCTCCCCGGATCATACCTTCTTACCTTGGTATAGTCAGACTTTGTCTATCTTTAGGGTCTTAATTTTATTTTTTTCTAAATAGTGAGGATCTTTTAGAGGTCATTTGGATACTTTAAAAACAGCTTTATTTAGGCATAATCTAAATACCCTGGAATCCAAGCATTGTAACTAAGTATGATTTAAGTAAGCTTGTGGCTGTGCAGTCACCATGGCAGTGACACTGTAGTTACAAAGTCATTGCTGTTCCACTTGTAGTGAATCCTCACTCCCATCCCAAGCCCAGGCAATTGATCCATTTTCATCCCTTATACATTTGCTTCCCATAAGCGCTTCACATGAACGTAAGCAATTCATAGTCATTTCTGTTTAGTTCCATTCACAAGGCGTTTTTAAGGTAACTAAAGGTTTAAGCACATGTTAGGAATTGCAAGAGCCTTAAGTGCTCTTAACTGCTGAGCTATCTTTCCAGCCTAGGTTTGGAAGTTTTTAATGTTATTACAATTTCAGAGTGTAGTAGTTTTTAAATATTTATTCATATACATTTAATATCAATTTATATAAATTTGTTTAAAAATTGGAATAGTGCACTTAAGAAATTTTACTGATGAACATACATTTAATGAGTCTTTTAGGAGCTTTTTTCCTTAAATGTTTTTTTTTTAAAGATTTATTTATTATTTTATTTATGAGTACACTGTCGCTGTTTTCGGACACACCAGAATAGGGCATCCAATCTCATTACGGATGGTTGTGAGCCACCATGTGGTTGCTGGGAATTGAACTCAGGACCTCTGGAAGAGCAGTCAGTGCTCTTAACCGCTGAGTCATTTCTCCAGCCCCTCCTTAAATGTTTTTAAAGTTATATATTTCTTCATTTTGTGTATCTTTAGACATCACTTAACAAATCACTTCAAAGCTTAATGGCTAAAACCATGTTTATTTTTCTTCATACAGATTTTTTGGGTCAAGAATTTGAGAGCAGCTTAGTTGGATGTTTCTGGTTCAGATCTTCTGTGAGATTACAGTCAGAGGATTGGCCTAGGCTGGCATTGTCTGAACTGCCACCTTCAAGGTGGCTCACTTACATGGCTGGGGAGTTCTTTGCCATGTGAACCTCTCCAAAGGAGTGTTAGAGTGTCTTCATGCTATGACAGCTGACTCCATATATATGTATATACACACACACACACACACACACACACACACACACACACACACACATATATACACATATGAACCAAGGGAACAAGATAGAAATGGCAGTCTTAGAAGTTATGTGCCATCATTTCTTATATAGTCTGTTAGACACACAGACAAACCAGATATGTGGAGGGGACCACAAAAGGAAGGAATGCAAAGGGTGAGGATCACTGGGTCCATCTGAGAGATTGGCTATCCACTAGTGTGCATACATACGTATGTATGCATTTATATGTACATGTAATAAAAAAACCCTTTAATTTATTAAGGTACTAGGTCTTTGTTCTCAGAGACATTGTATCTGGCGAAATTTCTAAAGTGGCTTCCTGTGGTGGTTTGAGTAAGAGTGGCCCCAACAGGCTCATATATTTGAATGCTCAGTCATCAGGGAGTGACGCCATTTGAGGATTAGAAAGATTAGAAGGTGTGGTCATGGTGAAGTAGGTGTGTGTGGCCTTGTTGGAAGAAGTGTGTCACTGGAGCGGACTTTGAGGTTTCAAAAGCCTATGCCAGGTCCAGTGTGTCTGTTTTCTGATCAGGATGTAGCTCTCAGATACTTCTCCAGCATTATGCTTGGATGCTGCCATGCTCCCTGCCATGATGACAGTGAACTAAGCCTCTGAAACTGTAAGCCAGCTCCTAATTAAATGGTTTCTTTTCTAAGAGTTGCTGTGGTCATTGTGTCTCTTCAGAGCAAGAGAGCAGTGACTAAGACACCTCCCAATGACACTGTACTCTCAGCCCTGGTATTTGTGAGTATGGTGAGATGTCGTTGCCATAATTAAGGCATGTTATATGGCTCACTGACTTTCACAGGAAAGCACCTAGATCTCGTCCTGTGAACTCTCTGAAGCAGTGATTGTTCTCACACTGATATGAGGAAGACAGATTCAAAGCATGGGGGGTTCTGATGGTATTGCTGGTTTGGAGATGAAGTGGGCATATGACCAAGAATGCATGTGGCCACCAGGAACAATAAGTACGTTCCAAGCTCTCAGATGAACACAAGAAAGAAACCTCAGACCGAGAGCAGCAGCACAGATTTTGCCAAGAACCTGGGTAGGCCTGGGAGTTGACACTGAGTTTTGCAAACTGGAGCCCAGTACAGCTGAGAACTTGATTTTAGTCTCATGAGATCTTTTTTTTTTTTTTTTACCTCATGAGATCTTATGCAGTGTTCTGTCCAGCCCATCAAGAATCAGACCTCTAGAAGTCTATGATAATGAATAAGTCTTCTTTTAGGCTTCTGAATCTGTGGTAATTGGTTACCAAAGTAGACAAGTAATACAGGTATGGATAGCATCACTGCATCACGCAATTGTGTTTCTCATTTAAAGGTCTGGAAGTG